AAAGATGCATGTACCTTGCAACTCAACAATTTTATTCCCATTTATACTTAGAGAAACTCTTTCATGTATGAAAAGTGACTTACTCAATAAGGTTCATTGCAGCATTGTTTGTAATCACAAAAAAAATGGAAATAAAACAGCCATCAGCCCCCAAATGGATAAATTGTGGTATGTTTGTACAATGGAATAGTGTCGGTAGCTTAAAATAAATGAGTGGAAACTACGGTATTTTCATGAATTAATCACAAAAACAAAACATTAAGCAAAATAAATAAGCTGCAAAAGCTATTATAAATGATACTATTGATAGAAGGATTTAATGTGTGAAATAGTATTATACATTGTTTATAAGTGCATTTATATGTGGCAAAGACAGAAACATATGTCTGAGGACACTGTAGGAGAAGAAACTTTTCCTTGACCTTCCTAGGGTCCTTGGCTAGACCTTAAAATTAAACTGACATAGAGAAATTTAAGAGGAGAAAAGCACACAAATGTATTTAACATAAATTTTATGTGACACAGGAACCTTCATAAGAAAGTGAGGATCCTGGGCATCTGGGTGGCTCAGTGGGTTAAGCCTCTGCCTTCAGCTCAGGTCATGATCTCAGGGTTCTGGAATCGAGCCCCGTGTTGGGCTCCCTGCTCAAGCAATGGAGCCTGCTTCTCCCTCTCCCTCTGCCCCTGCTTGTGTTCTCTCTCTCTCTCACTGTCTCTCGAATAAATAAAGTCTTTTAAAAAAAAAAAAAAAAGTGAGGCCCCAAAGAAATGCTTAAGTCTGAGTGTTTGTTTTAAGTATTTTTTAAATAATCTCTATACCCAACATGGGGCTCAAACTCACAACCCCGGTAAGATCAAGAGTTGCACGCGCCACTGACTGAGCCCCTCAGGTGCCCCAAAGCTGAGTATTTTTATACTAGGTTTGATGAAGAGTGGAAAGTTGTGGGAAAATACAACAGGACTTAAAGGGAAGGGGTTAAGGGTAATAAAATGGGAGAAATTTAAAAAGGTCTGTTTGGATTCCTCTTGAAGTTTCTTGGTCTTCAGAGAAAAGGATGTGTCTTTCCCCTGGGGTGGGCAGAGCATCTCTCAAATGAGGGTTTCGTGGGTAGGTTTGTTTGTTTGTTTGTTTGTTAAGATTTTATTTATTTGAAGGGTGCTTGGGTGGCTCAGTGGGTTAAGCCTCTGCCTTCGGCTCAGGTCATGGTCTTAGGGTCCTGGGATCAAGCCCCGCATCAGGCTCTTTGCTCAGCAGGGAACTTGCTTTCCCCTCTCTCTGCCTGCCTTACTGCCTGCTTGTGATCTCTCTGTCAAATAAATAAATAAAATCTAAAAAAAAAAAAAAAAAAGATTTTATTTATTTGAGAGAAAGAGCACAAAGCAGGGAGAGGCAAAGGGAGAAGAAGCAGACTCTCCCTTGAGCAGGAAGCCAATGGCTGGGCTGATCCCAGGACTCTGAGATCACCACCTGAGTGGAAAGCAGATGCTCAACCATGGGAGCCACCCTGAAGATCTTACTACCTGCTTCAGGGGAGAAGGGGCAGTGGTCCGCGAATTCTTCCTTTGCTGTTCCTTGCCGTTCTCAAATTCCTTCAGCTTGAAATATTTATTTTTTTTTAAAGATTTTACTTATTTGACAGAGATCACAAGTAGGCAGAGAGGCAGGCAGAGAGAGAGGAGGAAGCAGGCTTCCCGCTGAGCAGACAGCCCGATGCGGGGCTCGATCCTAGGACCCCGGGATCATGACCCGAGCCGAAGGCAGCGGCTTAACCCACTGAGCCACCCAGGCGCCCTTGAAATATTTAATATTTAATATGCAGATGTTCCATATTTTGAAATATTTAATATGCAAAGGTTCCATATTTTGGGGTAGTGTGTTCGACTGACAAACACCAAATTTAAGAGAACAGTTACCACCGAGGAAAGAATGAAAGAAATGGGATTGAATGGGATACAAAAAAGTCTTGGACAGTGTCTGAAATACTTTATTTCTTTAGAAAAAAAGTGAATCGGGATATGGCAAAATGTTAACATTTCACAGAGCTGGGTGGTAAGAACATGGGTGTTCAGTATACGGTTATTTTTTTCTATGCTCTGCATTCGCAAAATATTTTACAGATTTTTTTTTTTTAAAGATTTTATTTATTTATTTGACAGACAGAGATCACAAGTAGGCAGAGAAGCAGGCAGAGAGAGGAGGAAGCAGCCTCCCCGCTGAGCAGAGAGCCCGATGCAGGGCTCGATTCCAGGACCCTGGGATCATGACCTGAGCCGAAGGCAGAGGCTTTAACCCACTGAGCCACCCAGGCGCCCCTATTTTACAGATTCTTGAAAAGCAGTTTAAAAAGTTGTACACAAGTCTATTCCAATACTTACCAAATATCAGGTTATTATACTAGAGGTGGGGGTGGGGGCGGCGAGGAGCTCTTTTCTAGGGTCCCCCTCCCAGAACTGACCGGGGCTGCAGTTCTAATCAACTTCGTGAAATTATGCCCATGTAGGACCTCGGGTTTTGGTCAATACAAATGCGCCCTCTGCTGGTCGTATAGTGCCCTGTCCCAAAGTTCAAAAGAGCTGTGAGGAGCTGTGAATGTCTTCAGTGCTATGGCTTTACTGAGCCAGCCACGTTGGGGGCAGGGAAACCGCCCCCCCCCCCGCCACCCCCACCTCCAGAGTTCCCCTTATCACGATTCTGTTAATGTTCCATATGATCCAAGACAAAATAAATTCCAAGGTACCACCCCAATCAACCTTCCCAATTTCTCCAAGCACCCCATACATCAACAATTTTGTCCCCACTGCTAGATTGGGAAATTGATATGGGACACAATACATGCCACCCTTCAAGTTTAGGGATGACAGGAAAAAAAAAAAAAAACAAGTGACAAAGATGCTCTGGGCTGGGACGGAGTGAAGGTGTCACAGACAACTTTGAATGCTAAAAAATGGATTAACTGTAGTATTAAGGGGTGATGTTGGTAGGATGACAGGTGAATTTTTTCCTTTCCAATCTTTCCTTGAAGGTATAATACCTATAAACAAAATTGAGGAAAAATAAATTCACAGAAGAATCTACTGCTCAAAGAGAAATAGAGACTGCATATTAGAGTCTTCCTTTTTAAGTTTTTTTTTTTTGGTTTTGTTCTATTTTGTGTTAATATACATCTTCCCCGATAAAATTTAAGCACCCAAGACTAGGTGTTTCCATCCTACTCCCCAATGTATTCCCAGTACCTAACACAATTCCTGGCATGTAGTAGATATCTAATAAGCATGTGACAAATGAAGTAAATGACCACTTTCTCAGGATAAATCAGTACAAACTTTCTGGGGAATAATTTAGCAGAAAACACTGTGCCTTAAATACTTATTTTCTTTAATAATCATAGATGTGAACAAAGAGTAGGTCTTTATATAATCAAAAACATATCTTTCAAGGATATGTCATGCAAAGTTCTTACTAATTATAAAAAATTTGGAACAATCTGAATTTTAAGTTACATTTGGTTAAATCCGTTATGGTACATCTGTACAGTGAAATGTTATGCTGTTATTATAGTCACTTTTAGGAATATTTAATTATAAGGGAAATTCTTTTTTTTTATTTTTTATTTCTTTTCAGTGTAACAGTATTCACTGTTTTTGCACCACGCCCAGTACTCCATGCAATCCGTGCCCTCTCTGATACCCACCACCTGGTTCCCCCAACCTCCCACCCCCCGCCCCTTCAAAACCCTCAGATTGTTTTTCAGAGTCCATAGTCTCTCATGGTTCACCTCCCCTTCCAATAAGGGAAATTCTAATAACAAAAGTAAATTAAAATTATATATACTTTTAAAAATTCTATTAAAATGAGTATATTTTATATATGCATGAAAGTGCATACACCAAAATATTTGCAATAATTGTATGTGAGTAGAGTGATCATGGTGAGGGTTTTTTTGGTTCTTGTTTATTTCTACCAAGTGCCAACCCTGTTTTAGGTATTTTATTTGTATTAACATTTTTTCTTTATTGAGGGATAATTGACATATGGTAACTTATACTTATTTAAATTTTACAATTAGGTAAGTTTCTTAAAGTGTTAAATAATACTATTTATTTCTCCTGTAAAGATTTTAAAGCAGCCAACTTCACTTTTTCTAGTTTTTCTTAGGTGTTTTTTTTTTAAGATTTTTTTTTTTATTTCATAGAGAGAGAGAGATCACAAGCAGGAAGAGAGGCAGGCAGAGAGGGAGGGGGAAGGAGGCTCCCTGCTGAGCAGAGAGTCCGATGCGGGGCTCGATCCCAGGACTCTGGGATCATGACCTGAGCCTGAAGGCAGATGCTAAAATGACTGAGCCACCCCGTCTCCCCTAATCAATTTCATTTTCAATGTTATAACCACACTGGGGTTTTAAGAAGAAATCTAAACACACAGAGCCCTCCTAGTCTAACATTATTTTCTTTTTCTGTTTTCTTTTATAGCCCTTATTTATTTACATATGTATTTTATAGAATTCTAACACACTATTCTATAGTTTACATTTTTACTTTTTTATACCATATTTTCCATATTGCTTATTATCTTTTTAACCATAATTTTAAATGTCAAATTAATACATCATGAATTATTTCCTCAATCTCCCACTATTGAGTTGTTTAATTTTTCATTATTAATAACAAAGTTGTAACAACTTTGGACCAAAATTTTGTTCTTTTGAATTATTTCTTCATGATAAATACCCAGGAGTGAGATTCCTGATCAAAGACGGGAACACTTTTCTGGTTCTCGGTACATACTGTCCTATCACTTTCCCAAAGAGTCTCCTAATTGTAATGTCACTTGCTATGGGCCAGCACTGCTTTGTGCAGCATTTGCTAGTTTTCTAGGTATAACATACTTCGCTGTGCTAATCTACATGTCGTTGACTACGAACCTAGCAGATGTTTCCCCATGTCTGGGATTGTTTTCTGTTACCTCTTGTCCTTTGCATTAAGGATGCTCTTTGTCCTCACAGACCAGGAGCTGAGGAGTATCATCCCTGAACCTCTAAGAGCTTCCCTGGCTGACCACGTCCAGACCCCTGAGGCAGATACTGTCCGAAAGACGTAAGTGTTCAAAGTTGTAATGACATGGACTGCTCCATTTTTGTTTCATTTTTCTTTGTTTGTTTTAAAGTCACTACTCTACACCCAACCCGGGGCTTGAACTCACGACCCCGGGACCAAGAATTACATTCTCTACTGGCTGAGCTAGCCAAGCACCCCTCCTTTTTCTTTGTTTGTAATTAATTTAATTTTTGTCTTTTCTAAGCGTGAAGATTCTCAGGCTAGCTGCATACTCGAACGTCTACAATGATTGTCTCAGAAACAGAGTCTTGGGGAGGATTATACTGTGACATGCTTCCTCTTTCAACCATATTCTTTGGCTGGGTGGGTGAGGAGTGAAGTTTAACAGCATGGAAACCGCTTTCTCCATTTGTCTAGTAGCTAAGATCTATGAACGGGCCTAGAAAGGAGGAGTCTGTCATCTCAGCCTTGGTTTCTCCTCTCAGCATTCAGTCAGCTCTGGGTAAAACAAATAGTACTTAATAATACTACCACAAGTAGCTAACATGTAGTAAGTGCTTCCTGTGCGCTCTCTGGGCTTACTCCAAGCTCACTGACCAAGGCTCGGCCTGTAGCCCCCATCACTTGACCTAAGCCGCATCTGGCATTGGCAGCTGGAACCATAGCCTATTGTGACCTCCCATGAGGTCAGTGACTTGAGAACCTGCCCCTGCCTGCCCCGTGGTGTAAGGATTCTCTCCCGGGTCCAAAAGGCTTTATGCTCTCTACGAACGAAGGGAGGGAGGCACGCTATGGTGTGGAGGCAGCTACCTGGAAAATTCCATTTTTTAGCTTTTATACCTCGGCTTTTTCCACCATGGATTCAAATGACTTACAGCAACCCCGTCACTAAGAAAAAGGTGAGGTGACCAAAAAAGAAAAAAAAATTTTAAGTCAGAGGATTAAAAAAAAAGAACACCAGTAACACTTCACAGAAGTCACTATAGTCATTGTAACTAAAGATCAGACTTGCAGTTTTGAATAGAGATTCCTAAATGTGAAAGAAAAAAAAAAAAAAAAAAACCAGAAAAAAGAAAGAAAGACAGACAAGAAAGATAAGACGAAGAAGCAGCAGCAACACAGTCAGGTTTGTGGCTCTCATTTGCAGCACACCTGTTCCTCGGGGGAAATCAATGTTTTCCTAGCATTAAATTCTAAAGGATAAATCTTCTGTGGGTTTTTATAGAGTGACATTGAAGGATTTAAAGACTCATATATTTACAGGAAATTCCATTTACCTCATTCAACAAATATTTCTCAATTTTCTCCAGTAAGGCCCTGTACTCGCACAGCACAGTGAATATAATACTGATTTAGCTAGAAAATAAAATGCCCAGAACCAGCGCATTGTTGTTGTCTAAGAGACGGATTCTTGGGGAGGTAGCTGCTGCTGCCACTTTCCTGAAACCCACGTGGCTGTTTTTTAGGGGCCCTTTTGCCCAGAGAACATAAGTCTGTTCTCCTCAAGGCAGAGAGTCAGTGACAGCAATCCTACAAGGGATCACACAGACACGGCACGTGACCTTTTGGTGGCCAGATCTGATCAGGAATAGAATTCCAAAGGGCATAACAGAGTGGATGGATAGTGGCATGTTCCTAAGACAGTCTTTCTTAAAGGTCATTTATTTTCAGCTCAGCCTCTGATAGAAGACCTTTGGTTCGACGATCGTGTGTCATTCAACCAAAGGCATAAATACGCAACCCCAGAGAGGCAAACTATTTCTTCTGCGCTCTAAATTGAGGATTTATTTTTTTTTTAAAGATTTCATTTTATTTATTTGACAGACAGAGATCACAGGTAGGCAGAGAGGCAGGCAGAGAGAGAGGAGGAAGCAGGCTCCCTGCTGAGCAGAGAGCCCAATGCGGGGCTCGATCCCAGGACTCTGGGATCATGACCTGAGCCGAAGGCAGAGGCCTTAACCCACTGAGCCACCCAGGCGCCCCTAAATTGAGGATTTAACCGAAGAGAATCCCAAAGGGAAGACTCGACCTGTTACTCTATCTTCTTCAGGGAAGTGTTGAGGCAAAGAGGGTTAACCCAAGTGTGTAAAATGCCCACGACAGCGCCGCGGGAACGGCGGCTTGGTGTTTGCTGACTCTTCCTCTGCCTTGTCCAGCAGAGTTTTCGATTCAGTCTGGTCCTGTTGTTTCGCTCTTTCTTCAAGGGGCAGAGACTATGATGTACACCGTCTGCCCGGGACACTCCCAGGACACGAGTCCCCAGGGAGGCTGGGTCCTGTAGATGCCTCTCTTCTTCCAAGAGGATCGGAGGGGAGGACTGAAGCGAGACTGTTCCACCAGCAGGCTCTAGGCGACATCAGCGTGAGTGTAAACATCCAGGAGCCTGGCCCAAAGCTTGCTCCCAGTGGGCTCCCATGTACGGTTGCGGAAGTGCTTACTCTGTACGATGGGAACCGCAAAGGGACAAGTGAGAGCTGAAATCCAGTCTGTGGTTCACTCACCGTGCCCTGCATCCCTGCAATGGGCTTCACTCTCCTGAAGGATGGGGTGCCCATTTCTAATTCCTACAAGGGTACTAAAAGGAAACTTCAGTTATCTATACACTGCTTCTGGCGCCAGATGTGTGGAGTCTTTTCCCACATCAAATCAGTCTCCAGCTCAAAGGACACCAACTGGGTGCCCCATCGTTCAATTCTGACCCTGCCTCGAGTTTGCACAGCCCCCACAGGAGAAGGGCGCGGTCCCACAAGACTGCCCCCACTTGACACACCAGTCACAAGTCCCAGGCTATCACCGATACATAGAGGGTTCCCACAACCCCTTTCTCAGTTTTGATAATTCACTAGAATGGCTCACAAACCTCAGAAAGTCATTTACTTGCTATAATTGATTTATTGCAAAGGATGTTTTAAAGATTGTATTGTTTTTTTGTCTTTTGGGTTTTTTTTTTAAGATTTTATTTATTTGAAAGAGAGTGGGAGTGAGTGATCAGAGGGAGGGGCAGAGGGAGAGGGAGAAGCAGACTTCCCACTGAGCAGGGAGGCCGGCGTGGGGCTCAATCCCAGGACCCTGAGACCATGACCCGAGCCGAAGGCAGATGCTTAACCGATTGGGTCACCCAGATGCCCCAAAGATTTTATTGTTAAGTAGTCTCTACACCCAACGTGGGGCTCAAACTTACAACCCCAAGATCAAGAGTTGCACACTCCACCAACTGAGCCAGCGAGGCGCCCCTTACAGAGGATATGTTAAAGTATACGACTGAACAGCCACAGGAAAGGGTACATAGGCCAAGGTCCAGAAGAGTCCCAAATGCGGGCGCTAATGTCTCCATGGAGGTGAGGGTGTGTGCCCCCCTCCCTGCACGTGGATGTGTTCACCAGCCCAGCAGCAAGCCACACTCGTTTGGTTGAGGTTTTATGGAGGCTTCATCACACAGGCATTGATCGATAAAAGCATTGATTAAAGCAAGCTAGCCTGTTCTCCGTCCTCTGAGGTTGCGGTATTGGGCTGAAAGTTCCAACCCTCTAATAACACGGTTGGTTCCCCTGGTAACCAGCACCCCCTCCTAAGGTGCTTTCTAAAATCACCTCATTAACACAATCTCAGGTGTGGTTGGAAAGAGTTGTGTTAATGAAAAACAAAAGCCACTCTTTCCACATTTATGCTCTAGGAATTACAATGGCTTCAGGAGCTCCATGCCAGAGACTGGGGATGAAGACCAAATACGTATTTTAGGATGTCAAAATATTATAGGAACTGAGTGGGTAGCTGTGTCCCCACTCTGCCATCCTCTCTTAGGAGGACTCTCCGTGGTTGTCCCAGCCCATTGGGAAAGGTGAAGACTGACATGGTTGTGGTCATCTGCTTGAGAAACTTCTGGAAAGTTAGCAAATGATGCAACAGTGAATAAAGCTGGCTTTGATTTAAACTAAACAGTATTTGTAGCAATAGCAATCTATCAAAGTTAAAAATTGCTTCACTTTGATCCAACTCTGTAGATCATGATTTAGCATCAAAAAAGGGGACGATCAGAAAGTGTATTCTGTTCCTCTTTCCTGCTCTGGCATTAGACCCAGCAGGATTAAAGGAAAGGCTGAAGCCGAGCATCTCGGCGCCAGCTCCATTCTAAGACTCCCTCTTCTGCTCCATGTGGAACCCACACAAAGCCCGTTCGAAGCCGTGCTGTTTTGGTCAACATACTCTTCCTTTGACGGTTTTTTTCTTCCTTGTTTCCTGCACATCATGGTCCTTTTCCTTAATTTTTCACCTTTAGGAGATGGAGTTGATTGGCAAAGCCAAGAGGAAGAAAAGAACCAGGACAGACAAGTCCAAGGCGCCCAAGGGGAGGAGAGAAGGAAAGGTCCACAGGGAAGCAGAGGCCACTGTTGGTAAGGGGGAGTGTGCCCTTGACAAGGGACCCAGGAAAAGACACCTAGTGGGGGCTGGGAGGTGTCACAGAGAATCGGCATGAATCCAGTGGGACGAACCACCGGCTTTGAGTCTTTTGGACTATGTCTGGTTAAGACGCTGTTGCAGCCTTACTTCATGTCAGTATCTTAGGAGAGAGGGAAGAGAGGAAACCAGGCTTGCCTTGAGACTTGCAACCAAGAGAGGAAATAATAATAACAGCCCCTAGTTACTGAATACCCACTGTATTAAGAGCCCCGCACACACGACATCATGAAATCCCCAGAACATCGCCCTTGAAGTAAACATTATTATTATTATTTTTAAAGATTTTATTTATTTATTTGACAGAGATCACAAGTGGGCAGAGAGGCAGGCAGAGAGAGAGGAGGAAGCAGGCTCCCTGCTGAGCAGAGAGCCCGATGTGGGGCTCAATCCCAGGACCCTGGGATCACGACCCAAGCCAAAGGCAGAGGCTTTAACCCACTGAGCCACCCAGGCGCCCCAGTAAGCATTATTATTATAAGGCGTAGTGGCTGAGGCTAGAGAGATAGGGTGGCTTGCATTAGATCGAACAGACTGAACAGGAATTGGTGGACCCAGACTCGGACCCTGACATTTGATTCCAAGTACATGGTCTTAGCATGTCTCTGTGAACTGATAACTATCATCATTTGAGAACAGGGCATTTGGGAAGGGGAAGGATGAAAGGAGCTCTGAATGATCACCCAGCTGCTGTTTTTCTTCTTGGTTCCCTGTGTTACACCTTCCAAGGAATGTAGAATCCCATGCTTCTGAAGACTTTCTTTAGCTTAAAACTTAACACCCATTCTTTCCTGGCCACATGATTTAGAAGACCCTCCAGGCAAATCAAAGGCTGTCAGAAAGGAAGGGATTGGATTGTCTCCTGGGCCCAATCTATTTTTGAGGTTTGCTTTTTAAAGTCTTGCTGACCTTACGTTGTTGTAGCCCATGACTTGGGTTGCATTGGCAGGACTGGGGAAAGGAAATACTTGCGGTCCCCAGAGGTGAACTGAGGAAGAGTTCTGAGAGTGTGGAAGGCTTAAACTTTGCCAGGTTTCAAAACCGCAACTTGAAGCCAGACTCTTGAGGCTTGACTTTCCATGTGTGTCTGTAGTTTTCCCCTGTGGAGAGTCTTGCTTCTACCATACATCAGGGTGAAACAGACCTTCTTCAGTAGGAAGACTACTGAATGACAGTTGATCCAAACAGGATAAGGCAGTTTCCCAAAGGGTGGTCTGTGGACCGCCCTTCTCAAAACACTTGGAGTGAACATTAATATGCAGATTCCTGCAGAATCAGACTCTGGGAGTGGGGCCCAGGAATCTACACCCCAGGTGATTCCACCGAAGTTTAAAAGCTACTGGAAAACAGGCAGAGGTGACATTTACGTAGCTACAACTCTGTCCCCCATTGTTCTTCTCCAGGAAAGTCAAAGGAAGCAAAGGCTGAAAAGAAATCAGAGTTAATTCCTAAAGAAAGAAAACCAAGAGCTAAAAGGAAAAATACACAGAAGGAAAGGAATCTGGAAGTAGCAGAGCTGAGTGGGCCTGATGTCATTAACTCTAAGGAAACAGAAGACACTACTGATAGAGGTTTCTCCCCTGCAGAGTCTGTGGTAGAGGACCCTTGGCTCTCCCACGAGTATGATGCTCAGGAGAGCCAAGTGTCCATAGACAGAAGATCATCACCTGCCCAGACCACACCTGCCAACAGGGGATCTCAAGAAGAACGAAGTTACGAGGACCCTTCCAAAGTAAGGTCCAATATTCTCACCTGGGCCAGAGAGATTTCTGTTCTCACTGGTACCACCGCAGAAGTGGGGGAAACTGCCCTGCACCACATTGCAGGTTACTGAAACAGTGCTACTGCACCATGGTTTTAGCGGTTCTACTTTGATACCGTCTGACCCTTTAAGAAAAGACACAGCATGGCAAAGCCCCTCTGAAATGATGTGTTCTGTGAGGTTTCCAAGATGCCACAGCATATACGCAACCCATAAAGAGCAAGAAGTTGGCACAGGCTTCATGGTTGCAGGGAAAGGTGGACTTTGACCATCAGACCCAAGTACCTACCTTCTTTTTTTTTTTTTTTTTTTTTAATTATTAGAGAGCATGAGCAGAGAGAGGGAGAAGCAGACTCCCTGCTGAGCAGAGAGCCCGACCTGGGGCTCAATCCCAGGACCCTGAGATCATGACCTGAGCCGAAGGCAGCCTCTTAAGCAACTGAGCCACCCAGGCGCCCCCCGCTACCCTCCCACCCCACCCCACCACACCACCACCAAGCACATATCCTTCACTTGGCCTGGCTGGGAGCTCATGTTTTATTTACCTCCCAAAGGCTACAGAAATTCCTCCTTTCCTAATCTGCTTTTCTGTGGCACATAGCTGGGCCACAGGCAGCTCATACACACGTATCTGTCTGTCTTTACAAGGTGCTGCAGCATATAGAAGTTATTTTGTTCCAGGAGCCTTGATTCTAATGTCAAGTATTTAAGAGAAAACCTGAGTGAGTGTAAGGAAAATTACCCTTGAAAATCTCTGCAATGATTTTTTTTTTTTTTTTTTAAGATTTTATTGCAGAGGCAGAGGCAGGGGGAGAAGCAGGCTCCCTGCCAAGCAAGGAGCCTGATGTGGGACTTGATCCCAGGACGCTCCAATCATGACCCAAGCTGAAGGCAGCCACTTAATTGACTGAGCCACCCAGCCTTCCCTCTACAATGAATTTTTTTTTTAAGATTTTATTTATTTACTTGACAGACCGAGATCACAAGTAGGCAGAGAGGCAGGCTGAGAGAGAGGGGGGAAGCAGGCTCCCTGCTGAGCAGAGAGCCCCATGCGGGGCTCGATCACAGGACCCTGGGATCATGACCTGAGCCGAAGGCAGAGGCTTTAACCCACTGAGCCACCCAGGCACCGCTACAATGAATTTTTTAAAATACCACACAGATATATCTCTCAATAAGACCAACACAACCAAATTTTCTTCTGCTGTTGGAATAAATCGTTTTGTTTTTTTTTTTCCATTGGCATGAAGGTGCTGAACTGCATTTGTTGTAGGGGAGAAAAAAAGAGTACCTTTGAACGCCACAATTATACTTACAGCTAAACTGCTATGCTTAACCCCACATAAGTTACAGGTGCATATGGTACAATTCTGCTGAATCTCATTTAATCTTTACGGCCACACTTGTGCACCAGATGTGATTATCCCCATTTCTCAGACCTCGAAACTGAGGCTTAGAGATAAGCAGCCAAGTTGTCAGAAGTTACACAACCATCATGCCGTAGAGCCAAGACTTACATCCAGGTCCTTTGACTCTATAAGTAGGGCTCTTGTCAGTTTTAAATTACTATGGTTTTCTTTATTTTATTGCCCACGGTCAACTAAAAAGGGTTTCAGAAAGACTTTTCCCGGGACGCCTGGGTGGCTCAGTTGGTTGGACAACTGCTTTAGGCTCAGGTCATGATCCTGGAATCCTGGGATCGAGTCCCACATGGGGCTCCCAGCTCCACGGGGAGTCTGCTTCTCCCTCTGACCTTGTCCTTGCTCATGCTCTCTCTCACTGCCTCACTTTCAAATAAATAAATAATTAATAAAAAAGAAAGAAAGATTTTTCCTTTATCGTTCCCAATCCTAGCTGCGCAGACTATGGACTTCTGCTCTACACCGCAGGTGAAAATTTTAAGCTGTGGGCAGAACTTTCCTGAGTCTGCTAGAGAATCAGAATTTCTTAGATGTATTTTCAAGCCAAAGTACTCTGCTGCTCTGTAAAGGCTAATAAGCCGCTTAGTTTCACCCCAAGCAGGATCTACAGAGCTCCCATGGAAGAGTTACAGTCCAAGTTTCCCTCCTGGGCTCATTTCTGACAGTGCAGAGGGTGTTAGGGAGAAAAGGAAAGTGAAGACATCCTTCACGTAAACTGAGAAAACCTTCCGTTTAAAAAGTGGGTTTGCCTGGGACTCAATGTGAGTCTAATACATTTACATCTAAGACCACCTGCGGTAAGATAGCCTTTATCTAGAACCTGTGCTTCCCAGTCCTGGTCACCGGAGAAGCTTCTAGAAACCACCGAGGCCCCACCCAGATATTCTCATTGAATTGGTCTGGGAGGGGCCTTGGCCTCAAGTCAGGTTTAAAAGCTCCTTATGTGATTGTAAAGTGCAGCGAGGGTCGAAAACTCCAGACGACCGTGTGCCAGACGTTATTTTGGCACTTGCCCTATTTCAGTTAACCCCGGTAACATCCCCAAGAAGAAGACAATATCGGGGAAATTAAGTTGAGACCTCGAAGCGAGTGCGAAGCCTGGACCCAGGGCAGTCAGACCGCCCAGCCCCAGGCAGAGGCCATGGTCTGTGCGGAAACCACTGGGGACTCGTCTTGGAGCTGGGGAGGAGGGCGGTCCCCCGAGACAGACTCTGCCTTTCACCAGAACATTCTGGTTCCTCAGGCCCTCGTCGCCAAGAGGGAGCGAGAGGGAGCTTCTCGGGATAGGCTGCGAGCGGAGAGGGCTGCGATGAGACACTCGGAGGTGGAGAGGAAGAGAAGGGAGCAGGAGGAGCAGCAGCGGCTCCTGGAGGAGCAGCTGGAGAGAGCAGAGAAGATGCAGGAGGAGCTGGAGCTGGAGCAGCGCGCCCGCGCGGAGGAGAAGCGGTGGGTCCCGCGGGTCCGCGGCCGCCGGCAGATCGGGGGACAGCGGGAAAAGGCCAGGTGGACCTCCACCAGCGCCGGGGTTGGTTCTGAGGCTCGTGCCCAGTAGGCAGACAGCACGGCCCGTTCTCTGTTACCTGTCGGAAGGTACGGAGTCGTTCCTGACCCTGAGGGAGCCTCCAGGTTCACGTTCATGGGGTGTTCTTGGGCTTTGCGACCCAGCCCAGCAGGCCTTTGCTGAGTCCCTGCGGCCGTCTGCATTGTTCTAGATTCTTTTCATAGGCCTTGACTCATTTCATTTACACTTTCCAACAACCCTGGGAGGCCTCCAGAGTTCTATGGTTCATCTCCTAACAGTGGAAAATGAAGCTTTGGGAACTCAGTGCCCCTGCCCCAGAGCACAGAGCTGTGCGAGGAAACCTGCGGCTTCTAGCTCCAGGCCAGTTGCCTTCTTGCTTCTGCTCTTTGCTCGGCTTCCCTTGGACACCCAGTGTCTGAGTGGCATGTCCCCATGGCCCGTAGCTGCAAAGCCGCCCCCCAGGGCACTGCCCATGGGCTCGTCTCACAAGGATGTCCCAGTATTGGTGGCCATTTCCCTGACTATCCCGTGGCTGTTTCCTCAGCCTGAGGAAACAGAGACTCGAAGAAGAACAGCAGCGGCGGGAGGAGGAGGAGAGGAAGCAGCAAGTCCAGTTGCAGGTGGCCCGGGAGAGGGCCCGGCGGCAGCAGGAGGAGTTCCGGAGGAAACTTCGAGAACTGCAGAGAAGAAAGCAGCAGGAGGAAGCCGAGCGGGCGGGTGAGGAAGGGCTCCTGGAGCCGCCTGCACCTCCTATCTGGGGCAGACGTATTTTTATCCCACTGTGGGTGTCACTTGACTCTCCCCGGAGTTATTCCTACCCTAAGCCTTGGTGCGTGAAGCAGTCTAAATGCATAAGCTCTTCTTTCTAAAGGGATGAGTATGGGTGACCGCAGTGAGCCGAGACAGATGATCAGAATAAACACAGACTCGCTTGTGGAAAGGACTCTTGGCCCCACTCCCAATTTAGTCACCTCCTGAACTGGGATCCTGCCCCTCCCATGGCCCTTCCAGCATTGCCCAGGGTCTGCCTACATGGGGGCTGGAGCCCTGCTCGCCGAGGGAAGCAAACATCTGGGTGGCTTCAGGGCAGCTTTTCAGGTGCGGACCCGCATGATCTCTGTGGCCTCACTTGTGAGGCTCAGCAGGTGTCAGCAGGTGACCCGCTTTCGGCTGGTCAGTTCACCCGAACAAGCACAAAATTTCTCCAGACCCCGATCTGATGCCTCTCCCCAGCTACCTGCGTATTTCCCACGAGTACCTCAGGCTCTGGAAAATTCTCTGCCAAGGTTTTGTACTCATTGCCCGGTGCACTGCATATAGTACGTGCTTGATAAAGGACTCTTAAATTTGTACACTGACCCCAAGTTGATCCCCACAGAGTTGCTGGCAGCTGGCAGGGAAGCCGGCATAGTATCTCCTGGCGAGTCCTTGGGAATCAGACTTGGGAGTTTAGGTCCGAGAACTTTCTCCAGGAACAGGAACCCCGTGGAGCCTACCCCTCTCCCGCTTTCTATTCTGCAGAGGCTGGGAAGCAAAGGCAGAAGGAACTGGAAATGCAGTTAGCAGAGGAAGAAAAACGCCTGCTGGAAATGGCTGAAGAAGAACGGCTGGAGCACCAGCAGAGGAAACAGGAGGCCGAGGAGAAGGCTCGGCTCGAAGCGGAGGAGAGAAGGCAGCGGGAAGAGGAGGCAGCACGGCTGGCCCTGGAGGAAGCCATGACGCGAGCACAGGAGGAAGCCAGGTAGGGGATAGTCGGGCAACAGTTGCCACAGGGGGATCGTTTCAGGGGCTTGATTCCACATTTGCACGGCCCCCAGACAAGGGAAGTTCTCCCACTTTCCGTAAGCGTGGTTTGGAAGAACTAAATCCTAGATTCTTTTGCTGTCGGTATCATAGAATGTCTTCATGGCTTGTAGACTTTGTATTGAAGCTGGAAGGGAGTTTCGATTTCGTTGCTCTCAGCCTTCTGGTTTACAGATTAGAAAATTGAGTCCTAAGGAGGGGGGAAGGATCTTGATCAAGGCCGAAGAGTGAGTAAGCAGCCGTGCCAGGACCACATCTGAGACCCCCTGATTCTGAACCACTGCCCTTCTCAGTATTTTGTTACTTTTAATGTGCCAAACACTCTTCTGGACACTGAGAATTCAGAAGTAAGCAAAACAGATGTCTCTTCTCCCTTGGCATTTACATTCTGGGGCTGGGGGTAGAAAGACAATTTTTTTTAGCTGGCAATAGATGCTAGACAGAAAAAGTTTTAAACGTGTGACATGATTGCAGGACCCTTCCTTTAGATTGGTTGCCAAGGGCAAAACTTCTCATAGTGTTCTATAAGGTGAAACCTGAATGACAAAGAGCCAGATAAACATCTGGGAGGAAAAAACATCTGGGAGGTAAACAGTGAGAGCAAAGGTTCAAAGAAGGAATGAAACTGGCATGTTGGAAGAATAAAGGAAAGTCAGTATGGCTGGAACTAAGTGAACAAGGCACAGGTACTTCCAGATGAGATCAGAGAAGTAAGCGAAGACCAGATCTCATAAGAAACTTGTTGGGAGACCATCATTTCATCTTTCTGATAATAGAATTTCTTGAGCAATGTGGTTTCAATGGACTCTAAAAGCTAGGTGCTCTATCATTGCTTTCTTATGAATTTCCACTCCTTAGAGAAAGCAACAAATAGACATCACTCTTTAGAATCATCAAAATTGAAGGGTACAGGGGCACAACACAGAAAAGTGTGTGAGTCCAGTCTTGACTGTAAACAGTTTACCCACCTCAGATGTGTTTTTCTACAACTTAAGCTGAATCTAAGCAAAAAAGTACTCTTCAGGGGACCAGAAAGAGAAGACAGCCAGAACAATTCTCTTTCAAGGTTTTCCACCTAACCTTGAGTTGTTCAACTCCTGGGCTTTTCTCAACTGTTGCCCACCACCCACCCCAGCTGTTAAGTGAATTCAAAGACAGATTAGGGAAGTCTTGATTCAAAATCAAAATTATGTATTCCATGTGTCAGAGCAGCAGGACTGGGTTCACAAGTATGGAGACCAAAAGCAAGCTGAATGATTTTGTAAAGCTAGTCCAAGTAGCTGAAGGCAGAAAACCAAGTAATTAAAGCAGTGAGAGGTATAGCCTCAGTGCACCCAGAGGTAGAACTTAATGCCAGCTGGCTTTATCTCATCTTCACTTGGGTGACATCGGACCAGGTACTTTAACTTCTTTCTCTGGCCTGTTTCCTCATCTCTAAAACAAGGGAGTCCCTTCCAGCAATACGAGTTTAAGAACTGCTAGCTTTGCCTTTCCTTTTACTTTTCCAGTAGAAGGCTCATGAAACTCCAAAACTCATGTGTAAAGTTACTAAATGAATAGAGTATGATCTCCACTAAAATGCAAGATCAGCAGCCCCAAGTCTGATGATTGCTCAAACCCAAAGTTCTTCTACTAGCTTATAAGAGCAATTTTTTAAAATAAATTTATTTTTTAAATTAACATATAATGTATTATTTGCTGCAGGGGTACAGGTCTGTGAATCCTCAGACTTAAACAATTCACAGCACTCACCATAGCATGTACCCTCCCCAATGTCCATAACCAGCCACCCTATCCTTCCCCACCAACCCCCAACAACCCGCAGTTTGTTTCGTGAGATTTAGTCTCTTATGGTTTGTCTCCCTCCTGATCCCATCCTGTTTCATTTTTTCCCTCTCCACCCCCGACCCCCTGCCCTGCCTCTCAAATTCCTCACATCAGAGAGATCATGTAACTTTCTCTGATTGACTTAGTTTGCTCAGCATAATACCCTCTAGTTCCCTCCATGTCGTTGCAAATGGCAAGATTTTTTTCTTTTGATGGCTGTACAGTGTTCCATTGTACATATATATCACATCTTCTTTATCCATTCATCTGTTGATGGACAGCTAGGTTCTTCCCATAGTTTGGCTATTGTGGACATTGCTGCTATAAACATTGGGGTGCACGTGCCCCTTCAGATCACTACACTTGTATCTTTGGGGTATATACCCAGTAGTGCGATTGCTGGGTCGTAGGGTAGCTGTTTTCAACTTTTTGAGGAACCTCCATACTGTTTTCCAGAGTGGCTGCACCAGCTTGCATTCCCACCAACAGTGTAGGAGGGTTCTATAGGGCAATTTCTAAGATGCTTAATCATATTTGGATTGTGGTTGGCTTGTCTCCTTAGGCAAAAAGCTGCTTTGGAGAAACATCTTCATTTCCATCAAGAACTCTATAAGGAAGCCAGTGCCCTACAGTGGACACATAACATTTCCAGATCATGGGTCTACTCTTATTTCCAGTTCCTACAAATACCCAGACCTTAAGGCTAGAAGAAAACCAAAAAGTAAGTTGGGAGGTGGTGACAGAAGTGTTTCTGTAATGATGTCCCATTTCATCTGGTTTACCTCAACCCACACCTCACATCACTCCAGGACCTCCATTCCCACAAACCCTCCCTACCGCACATACTCAAGTAAACTCTTCACTCACCTAAATCCTTTATGGTCTCTAGAACCACATAAATCCAGAAGCTTTGGTGCCTAAAACTGACTAATAATTTCATTTCAGTTTGAATTGCAATAAATTCAGTTGAGTTTCAATTAGTAAGACTAACATCATCTTAAGATAGTCAAAGCATTTCATCTGATAATGTGTCTGAGAGTTGCAGATAAATGGAAATTCCATAATGCAAATAATTCTGAATAAGCTAAGGAGTTAGTTCATATTTTGAGAAATTTATTGTCTCTTTATAAGGCAAAACCACATCCATTTCAACCTAAGAATTAAAATGTCATGTCCACTTAAAAGGTAATCACTTGGTAAACGTTCATTTGAGCAAAATGAGCTGTTTTGTTAAGGATATTCTCACTTCCTCAAAATATAGATTCTAGAGCTGCACTGGCCAATAAGTAGCCACATGGAACTATTTAAATACAAGTTAAGACATTCAAGTCTCCGGTCACACTAGCCACATTTCAAGTGCTCAACAGCCACATGTAGCTACTGGCTACCTTACTAGACAGTGCAGATGCAGAACATTTCCATCCTCTCAGAAAGTTCTACTGGACAGCACTGTTCTAGACCCTGGTAATTAACAAATCTTGAGGGTTTGTTCCTGTGCCTTTAAAATCCAACCACTCACATCATTTCCCCATTTTTTAAAAAGATTTATTCATTTATTTAGAGAGCAAGCAGGAGCACACCGTGGGGAGGGGCAGAGGGAGAGGAAATCTCAAGCGGACTCCACAATGAGCACACAGAGCCCCACATCACAACCTGAGCCAAAACCCAAGAGTCGGACATTCAACCCACGGCGCCACCTAGGTACCCTCATAACTTCCCCATTTTTAAAATCATACTGACACTAGGGGCGCCTGGGTGGCTCAGTGGGTTAAAGCCTCTGCCTTCGGCTCAGGTCATGATCCCAGGGTCCTGGGATAGAGCCCCACATCGGGCTCTCTGCTCGGCAGGGAGCCTGCTTCCCTTCCTCTCTCTCTGCCTGCCTCTCTTACTGCTTGTGATCTCTGTCAAATAAATAAATAAATAAATAAAATCTTTAAAAAAAAAACTTATAAAATCATACTGACACTATATTAAGGTATAGTCTTGATTAGGTAGTTTTTCTTCAACATCTCTTTAAGTATCAACAAGTATCTAATTAAAGTATCTATCCTAAAATGATCATTAAAAAAGGGATGGAAGATCTTTACAAGCAAGATACATAAAAGGATGTTAAAGCCAGCAGTAGCTGAACCTGAACTTTCCCACAAATTTCCTTTGGCCCTGCTCTGTACTTCACTGTCCGCAACTGAAAAACTTAGTATTTGCAGATGATTCCCTCAGATTTCTCACCAGTGCTTGTGAAGTATTTGCTCTCTACAGGAACTGTACTTCTACAATCCAGAAGTCAAGTTTAATTTTGATTCTGTATTGCTGTTATTGAACTTGTTTAGGTTTGATGCTTATTTTTAACTTCTTGCTTTATGTAAAACAGAAATAAAACGGCCAAAACACTAGCTATCAGTCACAGTGATTTTAAATATGTCACAAACTTTCTTACAATTGTCCATCCTATTTGCACATTCACTCATTAAGTCACTCAGTGGTGCGTAAGCAGGTGAAAAAGGAGCATGTCAAATACTACAGAACAGGCACTCAAGGAAAACATCCTTGTGGGGGAAATTACCATTACCGACTTTATCGGCTCCCTTCTTTCACAGATGTAGGGTGCTGCAGTCAAGCACCAGATGGAGCAGCTCCACGAAATGTTACTGAAGGCTCCTTTCCAAATCTGATGTCCTATAAAATCGTTGCTGTGAAAGTCCTATTTTACCAGCACTGCTACACCAGATAAGCACATTTTAGTAAGTTAAACCATAGCAGAATGCAATGTGTTTTGAAGAATTCAATAAACTAAAAAAGATGATTTCCCCAGTAGCTAAGCTCCACCACCTAAATGCTAAGAACTTTCAGAGATCCAAACAAAATTAAGGTTCCACACTGCATACTCACACATTTTGAATAGCTCAAGTAGCCTGTCAAGTTTGTCACTCGGGCCTGACAGAAATGTGCATTTAGGATTTTCCAGAAATGGACCCAGTCCTAGTTGCTATTTAATATAATAAATGCCAAGTAACAGTCTAAAAGCTCTAATTTACCAAAACTATACATGTACAATACAAATAATCTTTCAGTTAGGGTCAGACACGGAAAGTTATAAGGCAAGCCAATTATTTTTCAACAGATGACTTGAGTAGGTATTTAAGCTCTAACGGTTTACAAAATCAGAGATAGGTTTTTATTTGCTCTTCTAAAGTATCAGATGACATTCTACCTGGGATAACATGAAACTGGATTCTGTGTATGCATACACACATATACTAAACTCTGTGATTTGTTGAAGAGTTAAAAGGTTAAGCCCTCTAATAGGAACCAATTTGATACTTTAACTTTACACAAGTTTAAATATTTAAGATATAAAGAAATAAAAGGCAAATATAAACAAAGTATACCAAACCTTAACTGAGCAGAGAACATTCTGTAAATTATTAAAGGAAAAATTTAAAATTATCGATATGAATCAATTAAGAATTTTTGGCATGCCCATTTATTCAACATGATTGGGAACTGTATCATAGATATGCACCATACAGGAATATCCAGTTTAAAAAAAAAAAAAAAACCAGAACACTGAGTATTTAAGAAGGTAGTGTGGCCTTAATTAAACCCTTAATTCAAAGGCACTTCAGTAGCTTTCAGTGCTTCAAAGTCATCATCATCATCACTGTACAGTACTGAAAAATTTATTTGTACCATGTACAAACAATAATTTCCAGTATTATGCAAGAAAACTTTTATAGGCATTTTTTCTTACTATACAATTAAAAATAAAATAAACGTTAGTACGGTTTTTACAAATACTTTGTTTATTTTAATTAAGCTGGTACAGACAATGTCCATTTAAAACCCATATCCCAGGCCAAAAAGTACAAATAAAATCAAAAAGAGCAGTGTTCTGTTGAATACACGTCTGCATGAATAACTTTATTAACTGCTAATGCAAATTGGAACTTTTCTGGGAATCTTCTGACAAGACTTTTATCTTAAAATGCTTTCTCTTCAGTGAAGCCATCTTTGGAGTTAGTCATTACTCTCACCATCTCTGTCATCTCGACTCCAGCCTGATATTTCTCTTCTTTTGGTCCAGACCCTCAAATTTTAAAAGTAGCTTCAAGTTAAGGAAAGGTCATTTTTCCACAGTTCAGTTCTCTGAAAAACTTCCATCTCCCACTGAAAGTCACAGTCCAGGAGTGAAGCAATCACATGCTAGAACGTCAGGGCCAATTGGAAAGTCATCATGAACACTCGCATTGGTCGATCTTATTTATCACAAGCCTGAAAATGCACAGTCCTGGAAAAGGTGGCCTCTCTGTGCACACATGTAATTTTTAAAAAGGAGAGGATAATATGAACAGGGCTGAGGTTTGATCACCAAAAATCAGCACAATGAAAACAAGTGATAATGAATAATGGGCACTAGAATTCAAATTACCAGATGTTTTAAAGAGATGGGGTGCCAGTTTTCAATTCCGTTTCGAACACCACATTACAAAAGAACTATTTTTAAAAATAAAAAAGGATTGAGGGTAAAAGAAAAAAAAATAAAAAGAATATCTAAATCGTTGAGTGACCCCCTGTTTGTTCCTGATAAACTTCAATCACATCTTCCTCCTCCATTCCCAGCTGTAAGAGGATAAGAAAATGTTAGAATATAAAGGCACTATTTTTTAATTGGCTGCAATTATGTGGCCATTGTTTTAAAGTACAAAAAGATACAAAAGTGATCCATCGTTACCCTGTTTTAAGAATCTAGGTTTCCTTTAATCTAAAGAACATAAGAGGTATGTATGTCTTTTCTCCTGATTCTATCTGTGATGTCATTCATTTGATCCTGCTGAGCAATTTTACCTCCCAGTTTATTCAGCATAGAAAGTGTCTTTTTAATTTATTTCTTAGAGTGTGAGCATGGGGATGGGGAAGAGGCAGAAGAAGAAGGAGACAGAGAATCTTACGCAAGCCCAGTGTAGAGCCCTATGCAGGGCTCAATCTCACCACCCTGAGATCATGACCTCAGCTGAAATTAAGAGTCATATGCTTAACACACTGAGCCACCCAGGTGCCCCTAAAGTGTGTGTGTTGTTTTTTTTTTCTTTTAAACCTCAAGAGTTGTAAATCTAATGAAACCTGTATTTAATAGTTTAAAATGCAATAGTTTGGGGGCGCCTGGGTGGGTTGGTTGGGCAACTGCTTTCAGCTCGGGTCATGATCCTGGAGTCCCAGGTTCCAGTCCTACATCGGGCTCCCTGCTCAGTAGGGAGTCTGCTTCTCCTTCTGACCTCTCCCCTCTCGTTCTCTCTCTCTCTCTCATTCTGTGTTTCAAATAAATAAAATCTTAAAAAAAAAATTTAATGCAATAGTTTGATGATGTATTTTCTAAAAAACCATTTTACATCTAGATGTAATTACTTGATATAGTCTCTTTATTTCAAAAATCCTGATCTCGGGCGCCTGGGTGGCTCAGTGGGTTAAAGCCTCTGCCTTCAGCTCAGGTCATGATCTCAGGGTCTTGGGATCGAGCCCCGCATCGGGCTCTCTGCTCAGGGGGAAGCCTGCTTCCCCCTCTCTCCCTCTTTGCCTGCCTCTCTCTGCCTACTTGTGATCTCTCTCTGTCAAATAAATAAAAAAAATCTTTAAAAAAACAAAACAAAACAAAAACCTGATCTCACTTTGAAATGTGGTGTTAGTTAGAAAACTACTGCCTAAAGATTCATTTCAAAGTGGTTTGCTTCATCATCTACAATTCCTTCTGGCATGTAACTATTCTTTTGATAGCGACAACTCTGACTAAACACACACCTACTCTTATTCGATAACTTCAGTTTTATAGGCTAGATTTGTATGGTCAGCCCAGCCCTTCTCAATTCTTTTTTTTTTTTTAAACTTTTTTTTTTTTTTTTTACCTGGGTCTAAGTTTTTTTTTTGGCATTAATTGTGTGGGGTTTTTTTGTTTTTTTAACGTGTTTTATATGCACGGAAATGTTCTGTAATTTTTCCTTAAAGACATTATTAACAATGGCTGCCTCTGAGAAATGGGAATGCAGACATATTCAGAGTATATCTACTTTCCATTTTAAATACTTCGGTAATTTGGTTTTTATTACTTTTAACTATAAGTATATCCTTTATTTAAAAAAGAAGAGTACATAAGCAGGCATGGTGTTACACAGAAACCCAGGTTTTACCCTCAGTGAGGGTAGAGGAACATCACTCTCTTGACTCTGGTGTGCAGTCAGGGTTCAGAAGTACTATAACAGACAGACTGAAAACAAAAACTAGCATATTCCACTAAATTACAGTGGATCACAAAAGCAAATGAAAAATAAAAGGAAAGTCTAAGATCACTAATTTCTAATGAGAAAAGGTGCACATGACATTTTCGGTGCAGATTGTAAAATGTGAAAAAAATACTCTAAGAAATTTAAAAATAAAACAGACATAGGGGAGCCTTGGTGGCATAGTGGGTTGAGCATCCAACACTTGGTTTGCACTCAGGTCATGATCTCAGGGTTGAGAAAGATCCCTGCGCCAGGCTCCATGCCCAGGTGGAATCTGCTTGAGATTCTCTCTCCCCACTCCTCTGCCCCTTGGCCCCCACACTCATGCTCTCTAATAAATAAATCTTTTAAAAAACATAGATTTAGGATTTTTTAGGTGATTAGGCTGGCTCTAATGTTATGGAGATTTTGATTATAGTATATATATGAATGTTAAAATAATTATTAAAGACGCTATTAAAACTTTATTTAAAGATTTTATTTTTAAGTAATATCTATACCCAACATGAGGGTCAAACTCGCAAGTCCAAGATCAAGAGTCACATATTCCACTGACTGAGATAACCAGGTACCCCAAAACTTAATTTTACTGCACATATCATACCTGGTAAATACTGCAAGGAATAAAATGCCAAACATGACAAGAAACCTTGAAGTCAGGAAGGCAGCAAATATCCTCCAACTATGGAAAATGTGAAGCAATCAGCTTCAAAAAGTATCTTTGTAGAGATGAATGAGCAACAGTATGAGGAGTTACTCCCTAAATACCTACTGTCTCCCTCTGCCCCATGATGCTTCTTTAATGACAAGGAGGAATGTATCGCTAAAATGTAGTCAGTATCTACTGTGTTTTGGGGGAGGTTTTTAGATTTTATTTATTTATTTGAAAGAGGGAGAAAGAAAGCACAGGTGGGAGGTGAGGGACAGAGGGAGAGGGGGAAGCAGACTCCCCACTGAGCAGGGAGTCCAATGCAGGGCTCAATCCAGGGACTCCAGGATCATGACCTGAGCTGAAGGCAGGCACTAAATCGACTCGGCCACCCAGAAGTCCCAATATGTACTGTGTTGTAGAGATTATATCAAATTAGGACAGGGAAAACACCAGTTGAGTTTGGAACATCTAATTGTGCCAGGCATTTATAAAGTACTCAAGGGGCACCTGGCTGGCTCAGTCATTGCAGCATAAGACTCAGTCTCAGGGTTATGAGTTCAAACTCTACATCAGGTGTAGAGATTACTTAAAAAATAAAATCTTGGGCGTCTGGGTGGCTCAGTTGGTTGAGTGACTGCCTTCGGCTCAGTCATGATCCTGGAGTTCCAGGATCAAGTCCCGCAGAGGGCTCCCTGCTCAGAAGAGGGTCTGCTTCTCCCTCTAACCTTCCCCCTCTCATGCTTTTTTTCTCTCTCTCAGATAAATATATAAAATCTTTAAAAAAATAAAAAAAAGTAATAAAATCTCAAAAGAAAATAAAAGTACTCAAGAAAGTAGGTTGATACTAAACCAGGGGAAAGTAACAACTACACTGTAAAAAAAAAAAAAAAAAAGAAACCAATTAAACTGTGATAAAAATAAACATTATCACTGTTTACTGATAATAAAGGGACTGACTTCATGTATTCCAGATATTACACCCTAAGAGACACATCACCATTTATGTGGTATTCCAGCCCCAAATGCATAACCTGAATCTAATCATGAGGAAACAGACCAGCCCAAATTGAGGGACTTTGTAGAAAACAACTGGTTTGTATCCTTTAACAATGTAAATGTCATGAAAGACAAAGAAGGCTGAGGAACTGTTCCAAATTAAAGATAATTAAAGAGACACCTAAATAAAATATCTTCATACTGAACTGGATCATGTGATGGAGGAGAAGATTTGTTATAGGAGACATAATTGGGACAAATGATAAAATTAGGTTGTAAAGTATTCTAACAGTGTTAAGTGTCCTGAATTTATGAGCACTGTGGTTATGTAAAACAATACACTTATTCTTAAGAAATGCACACTAAAATATTAAGTAGTAAATGGCAGTGGTATATGCAATCTACTCCAAAGTGATTCCAGTAATAAATACACATATATGGGCAGAAGGAAATAAGTAAAGGTAGCCAAACTTTAAAATTAAGCCAAAGTAGGTAGAAGAGAATACAATTTTTGGTACTATTCTTATAAGTTTTCTGTAAGATGAAAATTATTTCAAAATAAAAACTTGAAAAAAGATGGAGATAAGTCAAAAAGAGCATAGACACCAACCCCACTGGGCAATCTCTAAAGAATATTCATACAGTTTCAAAGTATCTCCCCACAAATTATTTATTTATTAAAAAGGAAAATAACTTGGGGCGCCTGGGTGGCTCAGTAGGTTAAGCCTCTGCCTTCGGCTCAGGTCATGATCCCAGCATCCTGGGATTTGAGCCCAGCATCAGGCTCTCTGCTCAGTGGGAAGCCTGCTTCCCCCCTCTCTCTGCCTACCTGTGATCTCTCTCTCTGTGTCAAATAAATAAATAAAATCTAAAAAAAGAAAAAAAAAAAAGAAAATAACAACGAATAAATCTGGCAATTATCAAAGTTGCCCAAAGTTAATGTTACCCAGGACAGGCCAAGTGGACATCATGTGGCTCCTGATGTGATGCACTTGGGAGCACAAAGCTTCACTCCGTGCTCCTGCTACCAAATATGCAAAACTGAATCTAACCATGAGGCAACATCAGACAAACCCAAACTGAAGGACATTCTAAAACATGGCCTGAACTCTTTAAAAATGTCTGTGGGGGGTGGGGGTGGGAGGCACCTGGGTGGCTCAGTGGGTTAAAGCCTCTGCCTTCAGCTTAGGTCATGATCCCCGGGTTCTGGTATCTAGCCCCACATAGGGCTCTCTGCTCAGCAGGGAGCCTGCTTCCCTTCCTCTCTCTCTGCCTGCCTCTCTGCCTACTTGTGATCTCCCTCTCTGTCAAATAAATCAATAAAATCTTAAAAAAAAAAAAAAAAAAAGTCTGTGTGGGGGCACCTGGGTGGCTCAGTGGGTTAAGCCTCTGCCTTCAGCTCAGGTCATGGTCTCAGCGTCCTGGGATCGAGCCCCGCATCGGGCTCTCTGCTCAGCGGGGAGCCTGCTTCCTCAACCCCCTGCTTACCTCTCTGCCTACTTGTGATTTCTCTGTCAAATAAATAAATAAAATCTTAAAAAAAAAAACCTTTATATAAAAAAAATGTCAGTGTGACTTACAATGAAGACTGAATAATTGTTCTAGATAAAAGAAAGCTAAGGAGGGATGATAACTAGTTAGAAGATACTAATCCTAGATGGGATCCTCGGTCAAGTTTTTTTAAAAAAAGCTATAAGGGAACTTTCTGGGATAAATAGCAAAATCTATTTTGACTACATATTTGATAAGAGTACTAGAGCATTGTCAAATCTCCTGTATTTGATAATTTAACTGTGACTCTTAGGAGGTAACCAAAATATTTAGGGCTAAAAGGTCATGATATCTGCAAATTAATCTCAAATGATCCCCCAGTAATGATAGTGTATATAGAGAAAGTGATCAAGCAAATGTATCATAATATTAACTGGTGAATCTAATGAAAATGTTATATGGTAGAATATTATATTAGTCTTATAACAACTGTAAGTTTGAAATGTTTTCAAAATAAAAAATTAATAATAACAATACATCATTCCCACTATCAGAAATAGCAGAAATGTTATTTTGTATTTGGAGGGGGAAACCTGTCCAAATATAAAAGCACACACACATACACACCCTCTCCCACACTTTATTACTTTCAGATACCTCTCAGGGGAGGGGGGATATAAAAACAAAGAGTCCATACAATGAAACAAAGACACAGAAGCATTAAAAAAATAAATCAAGATGACAGAGCCAAATATATATTAATATACACTAAACTTCTATATTAAGTTCTCAAAATGGGTCAAATGTCAAAAACAGAACCATAAAAGGTCACCATCACCAAGAAAGTGCACCAGAAATCTGCCAAATTTGAGCAATACTTGTTCCTCTTAAAAAAAAAAAAGTGCCTTTTGACAACTTGCAGGTTCTCCCTCTCCCTCTCCCTCCCCCTGCTGTGCATGACCTGACAAATAAATAAAATATTTAAAAAAAAGTTATTTATAAAAATCTCTACACCCAACGTGGGGCTCAAATGCACAACCCTGAGATCAAGAGTTGCACAGTCTACAGACTAAGCCAGCCAGGAGTCCCACCACCTCTCTTTTTATTGGACTTTTAAAGGCAATATATGGACATTCAACCCAAAAGACTATTCTTCTATTATTCAAGAAAGGGCAGTTTAATACCAGTGAACCAAATCATTCAATGCAGGATTTAACATTTTTCTTCACTCAGAGAAGAAATTATACTCACTTCTTTTGGAGTGTGATTATCAGCAATTCTCTGACCTTCAAAGAGAAACCTGAGTGAATTCATTGGAACTCCCTAAAAAGGTTAAAAAAACAAAAACACACACACAAATCTTAAAACAGGTAGTAGGAACTTTGAGCACAAAAAGCAAACATGAAAGCTTCAACAGAATACACTGGACATAAGGCTAGACTTATCTATCCTATCATAATTACCATCGAGTACCATCTATCTGCTAGGTCCTCCCTATACCAAGTATTTCACATATATAATCCTAACGTTCACCGCCACAACCCTGGAAGGTAGGTATCTTCATTTCACAGCTAAGGAATCTAAGGCATGGAGAGGGCATACAAGTTAGACAGCAACTTAAGGCTCAATCTGTTTCTAAGCTTATGCTCTCAACCACTATTCTTCTAGTTTCCTCTAAAATCTCTAAGCTAAATAAAAGATTAAATTAGAAATTGGATGAGCACCCTCACTAGTTTCCAACCATACAAGCAAAATAAATTTTAAGCAGATTAAATCACAGAAATTTGGTACAGCACTACAGCTAGCCAGGTGAGCGACAGTCACCTGTGATGACATAGATAACACTGTTAAGTATCAAAAAGTTATTAAAATATTTTTTTCTAATTAATTACTCAACAAAAATAGCTAAAAGGGAAGAAATGACTCATTTAAAGAGAAACTGCTTCACTGATAAGTATTAATCAAGAATAATTTCTTTAGTCCAAAAGTTTGAGAGAAATTTAAAACTATCTCCCAATAAGTATTAATACATAAATATATGCGACCATGCAAATTAACCCTTCATTTGATTTTAAATTCTAGACTTCTAAAAAACAATACAAAAAGCATAACTGACGAGAGCAAAATATTCTTTGATTTTAATTACAGGATCTTTTAAAAAATATTATCCTGTGTTGGGGTCAAGAAAGTTTCTATAGAAACTGGCCTAAAACATCAAAATGTAAGAATGATTCAGTAAATATTTATATACATTTCAATCTCTCTACTGGGTGTTACATACTTCAGATAAATTAAGTTTCCTATTCCTTGTATATCAGTAAATATAAGGAGAAGATTATCAAGCCTCTTGAACTAAATATGAACTCTTTTTCTGAATACTGTATACGGGGCACCTGGGTGGCTCAGCCCTTTAGCGTCTGCCTTCGGCTCAGGTCATGATCTCAGGGTCCGCATCAGGCTTTCTGCTCAGCACGAACCCTGCTTTCTCCCTCTCACACTTGCCATGCTTGCATTTCCTCTCTCCCTGCCTCTCTGTCAAATAAATAAATAAAATCTTTTTTAAAAAAATAAAATAGACTGTATATTCTGAACCATAAATAATCAAGTTGGAAATGATTCCAAATTGATATTCTTAATTGTCTCTCTAAACCTAGCACCTTTAATTATGGGTCAAAGTTATTCACTTTAGCATTCTGATTTAACTCTTTATTTTGCATTGTTTTTCCTCAATAATCAACTCCATCACCTACAGATGGGGTGAAGACTCGATGTGAGGACTCTACGACAATGCCTCTAAGTATCTAGCAGAGCGCACTTAATGTATGTTCCTTCCCTGTGAATATCTCCATTTTGCTCCCAGCAATATCATTAAAATGTGAACTGAGCCCCAATTAATCAAATTTTACTGAATTTAGCAACTAACATCAAAAACAGCTGTTTGTTTTAGTTATCCTAACACCTAAGTGATCTCTTTTCTTCTGGCAGAAGTGATTTTAATGTTGGTTACAAATTTAACCATTTAGAAACTTCTAAAAATAAGACCAGTATTACCTAAGTTAATATCATGTAATATGATTCAATTATTAAAATCTTGGCTCTTACATATACTAATTTCAATTATATTTTCTGTTTTATTAATAATAATTAATATTCATTGAGCATTTTAGAAGATTTTATTTATTTATTTGACAGAGAGAGATGCAGCGAGAGAGGGAACACAAGCAGGGGGGTGGGAGAAGGAGAACCAGACTTCCTGCCAAGCAGGGAACCCAATGTGGGGCTCGATCCCAAGAACCTTGAATCATGACCTGAGCTGAAGGCAGACGCTTAACCACTGAGCCCCAGGCGCCCCATCATTGAGCATTTTTAAGCATCATGTTAAGAGCTTTGTGTAGGTCATCTGCATGAGGTAGGTACTGTAATATTCCCAATCTACTAATGGGGAAGCAAAGCACATAATTTGTCTAAGATCCCACAGACAGTGGGAGAGACTGAATTTGAATCTAAGTAGGTTAAAGGTATTATTGATCTAATAATAATTGAGCTCACGAAGGCCAGAATCTGAGGTTTTTCTATTAATAAATCAACAAGCGGCCTTTATTTTATTGAAAAAAGAAAATTCTTTGATGTTGAAAATACAGACTGCAATTAGCAATAATCTGTAATACTACATATAAAGATAATAAACTAACAATACTAGGGGCACCTGCGTGGCTCAGTGGATTGGGCCTCAGACTTTGGCTTGGGTCATGATCTCAGGGTTCTGGAATCAAGTCCCGCATCAAGCTCTCTGCTCAGAGGGCAGCCTGCTTTCCCCTCCCCCTCTGCCTCCCTGTCTGCCTACTTGTGATTTCTCTCTCTGTCAAATAAATAAATAAAATCTTTTAAAAAAATAAAAAATGAAAAATACCCAAACAATATTAGTACTTAACTTTAACATATGGCTAACCAGTCATGATTAAAAATGAGGAAACTTGGGACGCCTGGGTGGCTCAGTTGGTTAAGCGGCTGCCTTCGGCTTAGGTCATGATCCCAGAGTCCTGGGATCGAGTCCCACATCGGGCTCCCTGCTTGGCAGGGAGCCTGCTTCTCCCTCTGCCTCTGCCTGCCTCTCTGTCTGCCTGTGCTCACTCGCTCGCTCTCCCTCTGTCTCTGACAAATAAATAAATAAAATCTTAAAAAAAAAAAAAGGTAAAAAGTTATTAAAAAAAAAATGAGGAAACTTCACAGTGATCACCAAAAATTACTTGCTTTTACTGTTACATATATGGATAAGCCATTAAGATAGAAACACTCATATAACCATTTTTACAACTCTGAGTTACTTTTCAAAACACTTCTGGCATACCTTATGAATTCAAATTTTGAAATGGGCCACAATGGGAAAAAGGCAATTAAACAAGGTATAAGGAGTATTCTCCTTGATCTGCTAATAGTGAAAATAATAAAAGATAATTTTTCTTTTGATAGCCTCCTTACAAGAAAAATTAATGACATATTTTGCATTGTATTTTATTCCATAATATACAAACCTGTCTTTGACAGTATGATTCTTTGAGTTTCTTGAGATGTGTTGTCATTTTCACTTTGAAGTGAATCTCACTGCTATCCTAAGGAGATAAAAGAAAAATAATTATCCTTTTGTGTAAACTATTTGTTTTGCTTGAAACAAATCATTTACTTTCACATATACTACACATAGAAACATAAACCCTGTCACTTATACCTCCCCACTAAAATATTTTTTAACATTCCTAACAAGGTTTATTAAAACACTACTCTAATCATCTTCGGGGCACCCGGGTGGCTCAGTGGGTTAAGTCTCTGCCTTCGGCTCAGGTCATAATCTCAGGGTCCCGGGATGGAGCCCCGCATTGGGCTCTCTGCTTGGCAGAGGGCCTGCCTCCCCACCCTCTCTCTCTGCCCGCCTCTCTGCCTACTTGTGATCTCTGTCAAATAAAGAAATAAAATAAATAAAATCTTTAAAAAAAAAAGCAGCACTCTAATCATCTTCAAAGTTACTTTATGTCCATTTCAAAAGAAATTTAATAAAACAATCAATCTGTCTTGAAGGTTAAAATTAGCAGAATAGGGGCTCCTGGGTGGCTCAGTAAGTTAAAACCTCTGCCTTCAGCTCAGGTCATGATCCCAGGGTCCTGGGATCAAGCCCCACATCGGGATCTCTGCTCAGCGGGGAGCCTGCCTCCCCCCGCCCCTCTCTGTCTGCCTCTCTGCCTACTTGTGATCTCCGTCAAATAAATAAGTAAAATCCTTTAAAAAAATTAGCAGTATAAATAAAAGCATTTATGTCAAAGAATGCATTCCTTCATAATCGCATATCTATTCTATTTTCAAAATAAAGTTGAACTATCACAAACACCCAAAAGCAACTCAAAACAAAAAGTACCCCCCACAACTGACATATTATTGGAAGGTGGTCCAACCTACAAGAGAGGTATATACCATAAAGTAACAGACAAGAAAGTCATGTCGGTCAAGAAGTCACCCCAGAGTCCAGTTTCTCTCGTAAGAGTAAAATGAATAAAAACCTGACTCAAATTGATTTATGGGACCACAGATTATTTTCTTCTACCCAGACTGTCAAACAAACTATCAGGCAACCATCAAAAAATAATACAGGTAAAATTTCAAAGCCAATCCTTACGATTACATATCACATTCACAAGTGCGTATTAGTGAAGGTTGCATGTTTACAATTCTTGTTTGTGACTATAGAGAAAAACAAATTTTCTTCCTATGGATAATTTCACAAACAGATAAAATTTCTACAGCATATCTCATGCCATACACTAAAATCATTTCCAGATAAATTAAGGAGCTAGCATTAACATACTCTTTTACTATTTTCTCTCTTTGAAGAACTCTTTCCCTAACCTTGACATTGGGAAATCTGTATTCTAAAGCAAGATTTTAGCCTAGAAGACACAGCAAAAAAGGACACCGATAACTGAAAATGTCACCCGATAGTTAAGAGACACTAGAGAAAATATTCACAACAGATAGACAAGAAAAACCAAGGGGCGCCTGGGTGGCTCAGCCAGTTAAGTGTCCACCCTGTTCAGTGTAGGTCATGATCCCAGGGTCCTGGGATCCAGCCCTGCGTAGAGTTCCCTCCCTGCTCAGCAGAGAGCCTGCTTCTCCCTCTCCCTCTGCTGCTCCCTGTGCTGTGCTCTGTCAAATAGATAATGAAAATCTCTTAAAATCTTAAAAAATAAATTTTTCAAAATAAGATAAACATAGAAAATGGGAAAAGGATATAAACATAAAATATAAACGTAGTAGAGGCGCCTGGGTGGCTCAGTAGTTAAGCAGCTGCCTTCAGCTCAGGCCCTGATCCCAGGGTCCTGGGACTGAGCCCAGCATAGGGCTCCCTGCTCAGCGGGGTGTCTGCTTCTCCCTCTCTCATTCCCCTTGCTTGTGTTCCCTCTCTCACTGTCTCTGTCAAAGAAATAAATAAAATGTTTTTAAAAAAATATGTAAACGCAGTAGGTAAGTAGTAGCCTAATGTTACACCACAATGCCTACCTCACTTCATCTCATCACGTATGCTTTCATCATCTCACATCACCACAAGGATGAGTACAGTAAGGTATTCAGAGCGAGATCACATTCACATGACTATTACAGTATATAGTTATAATTGTTCTATTTTATTATTAGCTATTATTGCTAACGTCTCACTGAGACTAATTTACAAATTAAAATGCACCAGAGGTATATAGGTATAGGAAAAAACACAGTATATATAGGGGTTCAGTACTATCCACAGTTTCAAGGATCCAATGGGGGGTCTTGGAACATATCCCCACAGATAAGAAGGGACAACTGTATGAAGACTCACTCCTCCAACAATTTTCAACTAACCTTATTATCAGTTAATATCTTTAAAAAGATCAATGAAGATCCAGTCTGAGGAAAAGAGATGCCAGGAAAGACAAAGGGGCAGGAAAATGGTTGAGAAGCCCTTTGGTTTAAGGTCGGCCCCTACCACTCATAGTACTTACTGTATTTGCTACTGAAGATGCTAACCAAAAAAAAAAAAAAAAAAAGTTTTTATCTGGAGAAATTAAGATAATCTAAATCTGCCTAGGATCAATAAAACAGTATCAGCCTCTTCTATCTCCAACAACAGATGCATATGTAGTAAATGAAAATGCCATTTTAATTTTATTTTAAAGATTTTATTTCAGATAAAGTGCATGCATGTACGCACCCACAGGAGGCAGGGGCAGAGGAAGAGGGACAAGCAGCCTCAACACTGAGGAAGAGCAGCCCCATTGCTGGCCTGATCCAGGCCTCCAAGATCACGACCAGAGGTGAAGTCAGACACTTAACTGGCTGAGCCACCCAGGTGCCCCCAAATGCCACTTTTCAATAATTTGCCTTATTTAAATCATTTTTCTGGTGTCAGAAATTATTTACGCTTTAGAGTTAAAGGAGAAAAATAATGAAACTCACCTGTCCAATGACTTTGAGTTTAATGTATTCTCCTTCCTTCTTATCCCCCAAGTCCTCAGTTGAAGGTTTTGCCTCCTGAAAGAAAAGTATATTTAAAGATAAAAGTTCCTATATGCTTTTTTTTTTAATGAAGATTTTATTTATTTGACACAGAGACGGAGATAGTGAGAAAGAGAGAAAGAGCACAAGCAGGGAGAGCGGCAGGCAGGCAGAGGGGGAGAGAGAAGCAGGCTCCCCGCAGAGCAAGAAGCCTGATGCGGGGCTCAATTCTAGAACCCCGGGATCATGACCTGAGCCAAAGGCAGCTGCTTAACCAGCTGAGCCACCCAGGCATCCCCGAATATGCTATTTTAATTACTTACTTGATGAGTACCCACCTCTCTTGAGTACAAAATCTACACTTAAGAATATAAAAATCATTATTTTCTCTGCCACGCGAATTAAGGGAAAAAGTCCTAATTACGATCTGAAACACAATGGTGCTAGAAATCAAAAAAGAGATCTCTTTTATTATAATATACTACAATAATGGTTCTAAAACCTCACCATACATAGGAATCACCTCAAGGGCTTTAAATGCCTGCTGGGCTCCACTTCCAGCTTTTTATTCAGTGGGTCTGGGCTAAGGCTGTAATTTGCATTTCTAGTGAGTTACCAATTGGTGCTATGCTGCTCCGCAGAGCAAAAACCTAGAAACCACAACCCAGTCAACTCCTATTAGTCTGAAGTAGCTTGTTCTCCATAAACCGTAAAACATTCTGAATCCAAGATTCTCCTCTCTCAGCCTATTAGAAGTTAACTACTCCAGTTGCAAAACTGTACCCAGAAATATAAATAAGCCAAATTAGCATAAGAAAGTATTTGGGAAGGAAAATTAAAGAGCCTAATATTAGCCTAATGTACTCTAGAGTCAAATCAGTTTTATAGCATCCACTTATTTTAGACTATCTGAACCAATCTATCCAATTTTAAAAGATTAGGTTTGGCTGAAAAAACTTAGGGGGAATAAGTGGAATAAGTAAAAAGTACAGCATAGGTAGGAACAGGAAAGAAGAGACAAAATTCGAAGCAAGAAAAGAGGGTTATAAAATAATTTTGGGAGCGCCTGGGTGGCTCAGTCGGTCAAGCCACTGCCTTTGGCTCAGGTCATGATCCTGGAGTCCAGGGATGGAGTCCCACATCAGGCTCCCAGCTCCACAGGGAGTCTGCTTCTCCCTCTGATCTTCTCCCCTCTCATGCCTGCTTGCTCGCACTCTCGCTCTCTCTCTCAAATGAATTTAAAAAAAGAAAAATCTTTAAAAAAAATTAAAAAATAAAATAATTTCAAATGAAGGGATACTGAAATGAAAACGAAGTTAACACAATAAATTAGTTAAAACAATTTCATAATTAAGTATCTAAGAAAAGCAAGCCAAGGAAGTAGTTTGGAAATTTTCAGTCAATGTGTTAAAAATAGCTTTCCTGGATACCTTACCTTAATTTGGCCACTGAATTAGCCACTTACTTAAATATATTCTCTTGTTAAACATGTAACAATTTCTGTTAATCCACACTTTTTAAAGAATAGACCAACTATGTTGTATTTTACAACCAAAATAACAGGGGCCACTATAACCTGTATATCTCATGCCAGTAACTTAAAATTCAAAGTCTTCAGGACGCCTGGGTGGCTCAGTCGGTTAAGCTGCTGCCTTCAGCCCAGGTCATGATCCCAGGGTCCTAGGATCAAGTCCCACATCCGGCTCCTTGCTCAGCAGGGAGCCGGCTTCTCTCTCTGCCTCTGCCTGCCTCTCTGCCTGCTTGTTCTCTCTCTCTCTCTCTCTCTCTCTCTGACAAATAAATAAACAAGATCTTAAAAAAAATTAAAAGCCTTCAACATTCAAAACTTAACAGAACATATTAAACTATAAGTAGCTTTTAACTTTAAGATCCAGGATAGAGTCCAAGGAAATACTTAGACTATACAGAATTGACTTCGTTAGTTTAAATCCTTGCCTGTTTTTCATTCTGCAGTACTTTCACCACTTGCTGACTACCGCATATTTTGACAGCAGACAAAATGAACCTTCTTTAGTGAGACAGTATTTCACCTGAAAACTAGATGACTGTCTTTAAATACAGTCTCGCCACCACCTTTCTATGAATTTATATTCATAGTAAACAGTTGCTTCGTCCTTTAAGTATCTAGAGAGGATAAGGACAGTTTATTCCATGCAGTGAAGAGCAATAAAGAGCCATGAAACCCTGAGTTCTCCGTAACTGTGAGGAAAAGGCGTGTTAGGAAGCGGTTGTTTGAATTAACACAAAGGAGGAGAATCCCAACCCCCCGCCCGCAGCAGCAATTCATCGGCACAATGGGAGTGATTTTGCTCCAGTTTCTTAGCTAAGATAGCTGTAGAGGCTACTAAAGGACAAAAGAGTTCTTTCCCCTCCTCCAATGCCTAGTCCACACTGCTTTTCTAAAGCACAGCTTCTCGGACTGGATAACTGCGTCTATCTAAAAGCATTAACAGCTCCCAGTACTTTAAGGCCTAGAACCAAACTCCACAGCACCGAATTCAGTTCCTCCGTTACAAACTCAAATTCTCATTTCTCCCTCACCACTTGCTTTACAAACCTGAGGATTCGCGGAAACTGGACTATCTGCTATTCCCCAACTAAGTCTATCAGCATTCTTCCACCTTCGGCCCTTTGTGGTTCCGGTTTCCTTTATCTAGAATGTATATCCTCCCTCAGACTCTCCTGAAATCACCTCACAGAAATCCAACCCACACATCATTTGAAGTCCAGTATTAAAAAACCAAACCTCCTCCAGAAACCACAGCACCCCCTAACCTTCCAACTGGCCCTAATATTTTCTTTTCATGCTTGTATTTGTAATTTCTTCATCTCTCTCATGGCATTTATTTTTAATTTTAAAATACTCCCTCTTCAACCATTTTCTCCAGTTGTCCTCATCTTTTTCTTTAAACTGCTTAGGACAGTACTTAGCATTAACTGTCTCCACTTTCACCCTTAACCCACTATCCTCTGGTTTATACATCACCATTCCACTTGACACTGCTCTCACCAAGATTACCAGTTTGACTCCTTATTGCTAAATCCATCAGACAATTTCAAATCTCACTTTTAACTCTAACACAGTAAACACTGATGACTTCTTCCTTGGAAACTCTACCTTTGGCCTCCAAGGTTCCACTCTCTCCTTATCTTAGCCAATTCCTTAAATGCTGGGTCTCCTCTAGATTCCATGTTCTCAATCCTCTGCTTTGTTCTCTTTCATGACCCATGATTCCAACCACTTTTCAGATACAAATGACTCAGTCATCCTCTCCAACCAGACAACTTTTCTGAGTTTTACACTCATTTATCCAAGCACTCAGCCATCTCCACTTTGGATGTCCCATGGGTACCTGAATATAAGTATCTAAAACTGAATGCATTATCTCTAACTCCTCTCCTAGTTTTAACTCTCCTTCCTGAAAACCACAATTAAAAAAAGAAAAACAATTCCTCCTGGAGTCCCAATTAAAATAAATGGTTACCACACACTCAACTAACTGCCCCGAAGAGAAACTCATGTGTCATCTGTGGCTATTCGTCCTCTCTTCAATCTCACAGTTAATCTTCATCCTTCTGACAATGTTATCTGTTGGTGGCTCTCAAGTTTGTCCTTCTCTCATTCACTGCCTTATTTCAGGTACTCACTGTTGCACATGAATATTACTACAACAGATGCCCCCAGTCTTCCTCCCTGCAATTCTCCAAATACCACCAAAGCCATCTCAAACATGCAATCTGATTTGCCCAGCATCTTCAATTCGAAGTCCTTAGCTGACATACAAGTACGTGTACTTGTACATACAGTTCATGTACTATTCTCTTACCTCTCTTGCTAATATCATTTGCTCCACCATTTGATCTCTAATTCCTTACACATGGCACCCTCTACCCTATCTCCACCATCTCTGTACATGTTAATCACCTCTGCTTAGAATGCCCTTTCTTACCCTCTTTCAATACCACTCAGGCATCACTTCCTACAAAAATGATTGCTCTAATCACCCTCTTAAACATTCCCATAATGCTTAATCTATTAATCTTACTTTTATCTATAATAACCACATATTTGCATATCTGTATCTTCTACCAGAGTTTGAGTTCCTCACTGGCATACTTCACTCACTCTTCACTGTATTTCTGATCAAGCGCAACAATGCCTGGGACTTTGAAGATATTCAATATGCTTGTTAAATAAATTAATGTTTTCTATGACAGTTTTGTCTTGACTTCCCTACAAGTTTACAAGGAGAGGACCCAAGTTTTTTCATCTTTATCATCTTTGTAATGCCAGGCAAATACTAGGCAGTTATTCAAAGCCTGTGAATAGAGCTAACAACATTATTTTCTGTATCATACCACAAAATCTTACTAATGCTTCATACCTCTACTGTGCACAATAGTCACAACAAGTAAAAACACTTTCAGTTTTTTGTATTCACAGTTGGAAATAAAAGATAATTCACTTCAACTGCATAAGAACATGTGAACAACTAGGATACGAAATTTTCAAAAATAAGCCGCCCGTTTCCCTAGTCACTACATGTCGGTGATCTCTTCCCAACTCTGAAGCACTATGGCAATGTCATCTGTATCACTTGTTTAAAAGCCTCATGCTTGGGGCGCCTGGGTGGCTCAGTGGGTTAAAGCCTCTGCCTTCGGCTCGGGTCATGATCCCAGGGTCCTGGGATCGAGCCCCATATCGGGCTCTCTGCTCAGCAAGGAGCCTGCTTCCTCCTCTCTCTCTCTGCCTGCCTCTCTGCCTACTTGTGATCTCTGTCAAATAAATAAATAAATAAAAATAAATAAATAAATAAATAAAAGCCTCATGCTTGCCTAATGCAGTCATCCAAATTTTCATGTATGTTTTTTCTTTTGACAAACTCGTCTGAAAAACGAGAAGATCTTGGGGATAAAAGGCCAAAGATCATTCCCAGTGATCTCAGTGTCTTTTGTGTGTCTTCTTTCCTTCTCTCCCTGTAAAAGAGCAGCCAATACAGAATAGTATGGCACAC